CAGAAATTTTAAAAACAGCATATTTTAATTACGCCAACTGTGACTTAAATTTCAACCTTTTACGTTTTTAAAAAAAGTTAAAATACACTAGCAGAAATACTTTTATCTTTTTTTAATTTTGTGTTTAATATCTTACATTTGTTGTTATATAAACTGTTTAAAATCATTAGAAAGAAGAGCTTCTGTTTTATAGAACAAAATTTTGAAAGGAAATTGTGAAAGCAACTTAATGCTAAGACTATTCTACTTTTGGAATATGTACTTGCTACAGGGATAGAAGAAAAGACAAATACATGAACAACATGCTGTACTAATGATGTAAATAAAATATTATCAAAGAATGAAACAGTCATAGTTACATGAGTAAAATAAACTTTCATACGTAAAACAAAATGTAACTGATGCTTACAACTGAAGCTAATGAAATTATTAAATGATTTAAGCTGGTAGCTTAAGATAAAATCCTTAGTTTTATTTTTTAGATATTGCTTATTAGAAAGACCCTTGTACCTTTCAGTACCAGTTTACTTATTAAAATAATTTAACAATTGTAATCAGAAAAATAAATGGTACATCAGAAGAAAATGCTATATTTCTATCTGTTAAAAAAAAAGTTAAAATTATTTTTAAAAAAGTTCAAAACTGTATATTGTAGAAATATATAAGTTTTTTAAATATGAAGCAAAACAACAAGAATTATAAAGATTTATACTTACCTTTCATTTTTAAATTCACATTTGGTTAAAAAGTGAAATTGTAAGTTTATCAAAAATACTTTCCTCTGTTCACAATATATTTTTCTACTGCTGAAATGATATAAATACCTAATTACTCCCTTAAAAACTTTTTTATAGCTCTTCAAGACATCTAAATTCCATTATTGACTTCTCCCAACCTAGTACATATATTTGTCCAACAAAATAGGAATATAAAACAATGAAATATATAGAATTATTTAAAAACTGAGTTACGTTAAAAATACAATCACAAGTAGCTTATCTAATGTATTTGATCAAAAAAATATGACATTGTAATTTCAATCACAACTAATAAAACCAATAAAATATAAAACATTCAGAGAGAAATAACACAAATAGCACATCCAATTTTTTTTTTTTTTTTTTTTTTTAAATGGCATTGCAAAAACAAATTAAGTCCTCTTTGTATTACTAACATAAAATCAAAAGTAAATTTATTTTTATTTCAGATTAATTCAGTAGCTGAAAGAATTAATCTCTAATTAAAAAGAAATACTTTCTCAAAATTTTAATTTTTCATGCATGTTACCATTTTTAAAAAATTCTTTAAAACAGAGTAAAAGTTTATATTTTCAAAACTTAAAATTCTTGAAAATATAAAATATCAGTAAAGTATAAGGTACCTTCTGATTATCCACACCTGCACTGAAAAGCAGGGCTCCCGAGTCGGGCAGATTTTTTGGTAAAAGGAGTCGGAGCTGGAGTCGCTAAATACAGGTCGACTCCGACTCCAGTTTTTGTTGGACAGTTTGAATTTGAAATGAAATTAAAGTGAATTAAAAAAATTAATGACAAACTGAGTTATTATTTTTACTTATGGACTATATACATTAATAAATAGTTATTTTCTATTTTATTGACATATTAATAAATAAATATAAGGGAGGAAGATGGATCTGATATTTGCCATTAGTGATTAAACTGATTCATTTAGTTTACTTCATTTAGCTACAAATCTCACTGGTAAATTTAGGTAAGCAGCAATATAAGCAAGACCTCCCAAAATTGATGCCATTCTTAGGCAGAAAAAGGAGCAATTATTGATCAAGCAACGCGATGGAGAAGTACATATTTGATGATATAGAGGTTGTTAGAATTAAGAACGTTTTTAGAAGATAACCCTAATGCTTCACTAACAGAAAGACTGTGGAATGATCTTTCAGAATTCCTCAGTCTTTCTGTTATTCTTTCTACACCATATATAACCACAAAAAGCTAGAATCTGAAGAATTAAAAGGAGGTGAGAATGGAAGAATGTGCTGTTTGTTCTTTCTGAAATGGAGGGGGGTATTGCAGAAGGAATCATTTATTCAATGAAGAAAAGAGAAACTAGTTTGCTAGACAATAAGATCTTGCTGGGTTCAATATATATAGATCCAAAACACCAAATTTTGTTGGATGATGAACAAATTAAGAAGGTGAAGAAAGCACTCTATGAACTTTCAATAAAAAGGAAATTGTTTTGAGAAAACTGAAATATTGAAATCAAGAAGTCAAACTGCAGACATTGCAATTGAGCCTCTATCATCCTCTTCCAGTGATGAATTAGATTTTGAGACATATTTTTGGATAATATTGAAAAGGCTAAGGCAAAGCAAATAAAAATAAAGAACCAAGAGCCTTTAAATATAAAAATGAAAAAAATACAAACAAGATTTCTACACGCCTTTTGAAGAAATAGAGAAATATGACTGCCCTTGCAAGACACGTATTTTAGAACTTATAAAAATCTATCCTGAAAAGTTAAAAGAAGCAGCCCTAACAGTAATAGCTCTTCCTCCTTTTTAAGTCAGTATGGAAACACTCTTCTCAGCTCTGAAGTTTATCAAATCGGATCTATGGTCCTTCAACAAAGAAGATCTTGCCAAAGCTATACTGTTTCTTAGAAAACTAAGCAGTTTTCCATTGATAATACGCATATGAATATTTAGCGATCATTTTTTCCTGAAATTTACTTTTTTTAAGAAAAGCTACCATGGTGTGGTTTACATTTATAAGGGTGAACTTTATAGTGGCAACACAGCTGAAAAAACGCTACGCAACAAAACCAAAGAATATCGCGTATACCACACGTAAACTACATACCTACCTTACCTCTCAGCAAAAAGACTCGTCCTGCCTACGTCACGCGCATGCGGAGTGACGCGAAGAACGGATCCTTGTATTAGCTCGCGGTCTAAAGTAAGTGTTGTCAGGATGTTTTCAAAACAAGAACAACGATGTTGGATAAAAATTGAATGTGCCAGAGGTCGTACAGCACGACAGTGTCATCAAGGGCTTCAAGAGGCTTGCGGGGAATCTGCATTGCCTTACAGAACCGTAGCAAGATGGGTGAAAGCATTCAATGAAGGACGCCAAAAACGTGGCAGACATGCTGCGGCCAGGTCGTCCGAGTGTCAGCGATGCAGACGTGCAAGCTGTTGCCACACTAATGGACAGTGATCGCCGCCAAACGATTCGTCAGCTGGCTGGACAAACAGGATTAGCGCATACGACTGTGCTGCACATTCTGAAGGAACAGCTGTCCATGAGAAAAATTGCTTCACGATGGGTTCCACATCAATTGACGGAAATGCAGAAATGGCTACGATACGATGCTGCCCGAACCCACCTGGAGCGCTATGAGCGCAAAGGAGATGCTTTTTTACGCCGTATCATTACGCTGAATGAGACTTGGGCCCGATCGTACCAGCCAGAACTGAAACACCAATCGAACGAATGGTGTCATCATGGGTCACCACGACGTTTGAAATTTCGTCAGAACCTCAGTAATGTGAAAGTTATGGTGACTCTCGACTGTGATGGTGTCATCCTAATGCATATCGTTTCCCCACAGCAGACCGTCACTGCGCATTTTTGGAGCACAATCTCCGACCAGCTTTGAGAAAAAAACGGCGACACTTTCTGCAGAACGCTCCTCTCATTTTGCATGACAATGCTTGGCCGCATGCAGCGCAAGCTGTGACTGATTTGTTCAAGCGATGGGGCTGGGAAGTGCTTTACCATCCACCATACTCCCCAGATCTAAGCCCTTGTGACTATGACTTAATTCCTAAGATGAAGGAACCACTTCGTGGCACTCGCTTCCAAACTGTTCCTGAGATTCTTGCGGCAGTAGACCGGTCCATTCAAACTATCAACAAAACAGGCGCTGTTACAGGTATTCTGCGACTTCCACATCGTTGGAAAAGTGTTGTACACAATGCTGGCGACTATATTGAAGGACTGTAAAACATGGTGACATGAATCACTTTTGTATTCCTTGTAAATAAATAGTTGCCACTATTAAAGTTCCACCCTCGTATATAAGGGAGTCGGAGTCAAAGTAGAAGTCAGAGTCGGACTCATTAAAATTCTAGGAGTTGGAGTCAGTCATTTTCCCTACCAACTCCACAGCCCTGCTTAAAAGTCAAGAAAAAGTATTCATGATGCAAAGCAGTGTGTTGCCAAGCCAGGCATATAGCAACCCCAGAGTTACCAGAAAGTATTTATGTGGCAACCCACGTATGTGCATAGCACATGTCTGTTTTGGCGAGTGCACAGAGCCGATTTCATATAATGCCAAGTTTGTATTTGTTTCTATTTTATTTCTATAACATCTGTCTATTTACACAATTGCTTTACAAATTTTTTCATAAAAGAACAGAATAAGTTAGGTGTTGAAATAATGAGTGAACTATCTGCCTCAAAAGAGATATCACATATTTACACATACCCAGTTTTTAAAGGCATATATAACTAAAAAATAATACAATAGTTAAAATAATAGAAGTTAAGAAAAAACAAAAGCAATTAACTTTCATAATCCATGCATAAACACAAAAACTACAATACCTAATCACTAGCAAGACTTCAGAAAAACAGTTAATAAATAACAGAAAAAATTAAAAGCTTTTAATTAGCAGAAATTAAACATAGAATAAATGCAAAAAATATATATAATTATTAATATTTACACAAACAGCAACTGGAAACAGCTTTTTAAAAAGAAAATTTCATTTCCATCACAGATGAAATCCATACTTCAAATAGCAATTACAAATCAGAATATATATTAATCATACATTTGATCTGAAGCCCCTTGATAAAAATATAAGATAACCAATAATCAATCACTAATTAAAAAAACACATTTTCTATAATTTTAAATTTTACATGTATGCCAACCATTTAACACATAAAATAACAGACTTTCAACAGTTTTAAAAACTAAACTAAAAGCCTTTTACTTACATAAATTAATAATAAAATAAATGCAAAATACATTGTATGTAACATTTCTAAAAAACAGCATCAGAAATATTTTTTTAGATCCATACATTGAATTTAAATTTGTTACATAAATAAATGAAATAATCAGTAATGAAAAATTCTAATACTCTTTCCTGGAATGCACAGTCATATCTTATAGAATCTGACAATATGAGGCACATTTTACAGTTTCAGTTTCTTTTTGTGCTTCCTATTCAGACAGCAACACTATATTACATATTTTGATAAATGAAAATCTAATACTTAATATGAATATAACTAAAGTTGCAATATTAAAAGCAGGATTCAAATTTGGTACACTGTTGTGATCATATTTAACAACATTTACAACAATATCTTGATGAACTATAACCAACTCTGTTGAATTTTTTGGAGACGCAGAAGAATTTAAAGAGTATGTGGTTTGATTCATAATATTTCCTGAAGATTCATTCAATTTATATGAAACTGGCATTTCACTAGGATTAGCACACTGAGGTAAGAGATATGTATATAATAGTTTCACCAGATTTTCAGATGCAACTTGCAGATCATCACAACTGTTTTTAACAATGTCTTGAATGCAGATGAAAAATGATTCCACAGCCCTTCAAAGGGGGAAAAAAATAAGGCATTATTTACTGAAGAATAAAATGACGTCTACATAACAAACATTTATTTTAACTATGAAGACGTTGAACAGCAGAGTAGAAACATAATATTACACAGCGCTTTGAAATTCTCTCTTACATGCAATACTCACCATTGACTTTGGCTAACTACCTATTAACTAAGTATATAAGTATTACGCAGCAGAGAACTTGCTTATCACGCGCATGCGCTAGGGGAATCAACGGCGGTTGCCAACATACCCCCTTTCGACGTTGATTCTCCTATTGCTGAAAAGTAAAACAAAATACATATTAAACAGTATTCAATCCTACAATTGTACAACAGCTTTGATGTTTAACAGGAGTCAGGGGTTTGGTTAACACATCAGCTCCCATTTCACTGGCACGTATGTACTGCACATCTAATTCACCGCGTTCATATACTTCACGCACAAAATGATGGCGAATGTCTATGTCCTTTGTACGGGAGTGAAACACAGAGTTCTTTGTAATTTTCTGAGCTCCTTGATTGTCGCAGTATATTGTTGTTGGGTGTTCTATGTTGTAACCCAGCTCCTTCAGGAAACGATGTAGGTAGACAGTTTCTTTGGCGGCCTCTGACAGAGCCATATATTCTGCCTCCGTTGAAGATAGAGCTATACTGCGTTGTTTTCGTGATTCCCAGGTTATGGCTGAACCACTTAATATATATACAAAACCGGTGTAGGATTTTCTATCATCGACATTTGATGCCCAATCTGCATCCACAAAGGCGATGAGTGGTTTTCCTGTTTTCGTATAAATTAGTCCTTGATCTTGTGTTCCCTTTAGATATTGAAGTATTCTTTTTGCAACATGTGAATGTTCTTTTCCCGGATTGTTGTTAAATTGACTTGAGAAATTCACAGCGTATGTGATATCTGGCCTAGTAGCTACTGAAAGGTACATTAGTGATCCGATCAAATTTCTAAATGGAACATTTTTCATGTCAGCGATTTCGTTTTCGTTTTTAGGACTCATCTCTTTTGATAATTTTTTGCTGTTATCTATAGGTGAAGACACGGATTTAGCATTTTGCATATTATACCGATTTAAAATATCATCAACGTCTTTCGAGAAATTTTAATTGAATTCTCATTTTAGTGAAATTCTATGCCTAAGCAATAATGTAACTTCCCCAAGTCTTTCATTTTGAAAGCAGAAGCTAAACTATTGCGAATTATTTCATACGTTTGTTTAGAATCGGTAAAAACGATAAGATCCTCTACATAAACGATTATAATAGTTTCACTGTTAGGCGTCTTTTTAATATAAACACAATTATCTGAATTAAGAGATTTAAATTTCATAGATTTCAATTTTTCATCCAACTTTTTGTACCACTGACGTCCTGACTGTTTAAGACCGTATAACGATCTCTTTAAAAGACACACCTTATCTGAATTAGTTTTATCGCGAAAAACTTCGGGAATTTCCATGTAGATTTCTTCATCTAAATTTCCATTTACATAGGCCATTACAAAATCTAATTGGTAACCTTTGAGATTGTGTTCTACTGCGTAGGCTAAAACTGTTCTTATGGAGCTTAATCTAGCAACAGGGGAAAAGTTTTCAGTGAAATCGAGACCAGGGATTTGAGCGCACCCTTTAGCAACTAGCCTAGCTTTGTATTTTTCGATAGTGCCGTCGTGATTATATTTTAATTTAAGAACCCATTTACTACCAATAACTTTCTTGTTTATGTTCTTTTTACTAATTCCCAAGCATTTTCTTGAACAAGAGAGTTATTGAGAAGTCAAACAACAAAAATCAGTGTTATACCTACAAAAATTTTTTCACAGGACTAGTTTCGATGGTTTTACCGAACCATCATCTTCAGCTGCAAAACTGCAAATGAATGTTTTTGTTGTTTGACTTCTCAATTAGTATTTATTCGGCGTGTTATTGTGTCTAACAAGAGAGTTATATTCTAACAGCATGGCATTATGCCAATTTTCAGCATATGGTCCATTTAATGCTTCTTGCACCGTAGGATTAATGCTTTCCTCAACAACATTTTGAGTTTGTTCATTTTTATTTACAACTGTATAGTGATATTCCTTTTTAGGCCTTCCTGGCAAACCTGTTTTTAGTTTCTTGGGTCGACCAGGCCCCCTTTTAATCAAGATAGGAAGCATTGATTCGCTATCTAAATCACTTCCACTTTCCTTTTCAGCTTCAGAGTGAAGTTGCGACTCGCTACCGTCCAGAGGTGATGATTTTTCACAACATGTTTTATTTATAATTTTTTCCACCAGAGCGAAAGGCAGATTTATTTCTTGCTCTGAGTCATAACTACAGCAGTTTTCAAATTCATTAATAAATTTTACATCTCTGCTTATTATCACTTTACGTGCCTCGGGATCCCAAAGTCTATACGCTTTCGATTCATCAGAATAGCCAATAAAAATACATTCTTTAGATCGAATATCAAATTTGCCTATTCCTGGCCTTTTATTTAGCGAAAATGCTTTTTGGCCAAAGGTTCTGAAGTGAGAGACAGCAGGTACTCTGCCAAACATCACTTCGTAAGGTGTTTTTATTTCGTTTTTTGAAACCTCGCGTTGGACAGCGATTTCGAATGTAAGCAGCCGTATTGACGGCTTCGGCCCAGAATTTCTGAGGCAGATTGGATTGCAATAACAAACATTGCACCATTGAAACCAAAGTGCGATTTAATCTTTCGGCGACGCCATTCTGGGCTGGCGTGTAAGGAGTGCTCATTTCGTGTTTTATTCCCGCATTATTAAGAAATTTATTAAAGTCTTTCCCTAAATATTCTAGCCCGTTATCGCTTCGCAGGATTCTGATTTTAGAGTTAAGTTTATTTTCAAAAGATGCTTTAAAATTTCTAAAAGCTTCTTTAACCTCATCCTTAGATTTCAGAAAATAAACATGAACATATCGAGATTTATCATCAATAAATGTTGCGAAATAAAATGATCCACCTATTGATTCAGTTCTCATGGGACCACACAAATCAGAATGAATTAGATTCAACAATTCAGTACTTCTATATTCAGATTCTTTGGGAAGAGGGGTTGCGGTTTGTTTACCCTGAATGCATACCTACAACAAGTAGAAAGAGAGTCATTTTGAGAAAAAGAAAGACCTCTAACCATGTTATTTATTTGAAGTTTTTTAAGATCATTTTCATTTAAATGGCCAAATCTTATATGCCACTGATCTATTTCTTTAGCAATTGATACAGATTCAAATATTGGCATGACAAAATAAAGATCATTTTCACGTTTAGCTAAAATTACTGTTTCGTTATTAGAATTAATTATTTGAGCACATTTTTCTTTGAAAATTACTGAAAGATTATTTTCAGTTACTTTAGACACTGAGATTAAATTATTTTTCAAATCAGGTACACACAATACATTTTTTTAGTTTGATATTTTCAGTTTTAGAACCTATGCGAACTTTAAATTTAACAGTTCCTTTTCCAATAGCTTTAACAGTTTTATCAGCAGCTAATTTAACATAAGTGTCACCTACCTCGTGAATTTCTTGAAACAGTTCCTTGCTGTTACACATATGCAATGTGGCACCACTATCCAGACAAAAAATGTGTTTAGAATTACTATTAGTGCATGCTACGGCTTTTTCTTGCTCCAGGGAATTCGGATTTTCTGCAGACATCGCAGTTTCACTAAGGTATTTGCTTTTAGTTTCTTTACTTTTCTTCCTACATTCCGATGCTCTATGCCCATAGATATGGCAGAAATTACATCTGTAGTTAACTGGATACTGTCTTCGGTTTGCAAATTTATCTGGTTTCGGTTTAGGAACCGGTCGTTGAGTATACTTCCGATCTTTCGAATAGAACGCATGTTGTGGTTTAGAAAACGATGAATCTTTATTTTTGCGAGCGTTAGCTTCTTCCAACAGTTTAATTTTCAGCATTTCTGGCGGAGGCAGTTCATCACGAGATTCGATGGCTATTCGAAAGCTTTCATACGAGTCCGGTATGCTATATAAAAGCAACATTGTAAGCAAATCATCCGCAATGCTTATTTCCATTTCTTTCAGTTTGTCCACAAGAATGAAAAAATCATTTAGATGAACAGTCATTTGTTTAGAATCACTCATTTTTGTAAAAAGCAATTTTTTTAGAATTGTGGCCTTTCTAGCTGGTCCCTTCGATTCGTAAATAGAATGCAATTTACGCCACAGTTCGTGAGATGTTACACAGTTCTTTACTTGTGGAAGTTCACTGGGTAAGATGGATAGGATTATATCCGCTCGTGCTTTTTGCTTTTTGGTCAGTAGTTTTCCATTTAGCAAATTCTTCATCACCAGGTTTGGTTTCAGAATTTTCCCAGTTACATAGTCCAAATGATAATTTTTAATCAGTATTGCTTCCATTTGCAACTTCCACGTATTAAAGTTGTCCTTGTTTAGCTTTTCAATTGACACTGTATTAGTCGTCGCCATTTTCATTTCAGTCGACGCAGCTTGGCTTGCCGAAAGAATTTAACAATGGTAGTTGGAATGCACAGTTAAGCGCTATCTGGGCCCATAACCTATGAAGAATAAAATGACGTCTACATAACAAACATTTATTTTAACTATGAAGACGTTGAACAGCAGAGTAGAAACATAATATTACACAGCGCTTTGACATGCAATACTCACCATTGACTTTGGCTAACTACCTATTAACTAAGTATATAAGTATTACGCAGCAGAGAACTTGCTTATCACGCGCATGCGCTAGGGGAATCAACGGCGGTTGCCAACATTTACCATGAAATTTAAAAAAAAAAAAAAAAAAAAAAAGAGGAGAGAGAAAGAAGAAATGAAAACTTAAATTGACCACACACACACAAAAAAAAAAAAAAAAAAAAAAAAAAAAAGAGTCATTCTATTTAAACATTTGCCTTATTTATCATTCTTCCAGTTACTCAAACAAAGTGATAAAGTCCTTTTCTACTGTTTGTCACTATTTACTGAGATGGATGGACAGGACAACACTGGATGAACAACACAATATATGCAATCGTTCAGCCATTGGATGGCCAATTTAATTCAAAAATTCAAATCACTCTTTACAGTCTTGTTCTGAATACTTACAATGTATGATATATATGCATAAATATAATCAAATAACTTTGTTTCAATTAGCATGAAATAAAGCTAATGTATTATGTTTTAAATGCAGATGAAGTGGTTTCCATTTCATTTTAATCATTTTCTTAATGAATAGAACTGTATTATTGGGTATTTTCTTAAAGAATAGATGCAATGTGTATAGATGCTTAATGTTAAGTCAGAATTCAGGATAACATAAATCAATTAAAATAAAGCATTATTCAAATAAAGAAAAGAAAATATACAGAGCAAGAGAAAGAGAGGAAAAGAAAAAATATTATGTATATGTATAAAATATGAAAATCATCCACAGTAATCACATCTAAAAGTGAAAAATTGATATAGAATATCACCTCTCCAACATGACAATTACAAGAGGCGACTAAAGTGTTCTAAAACTACATGTCATGTTACAGAAAGTCACTAATTATTATTAATAAAATAAAAAATTACTTCTTAAAACATCAAATGCATATAATTACAATATTTTTAAAATACTATTAATTACCTGCATAATTTATTTCCAAAATGGGCATGCACAGAAGAATTAGTAACAACCCATTTTCCTGGAATGCACAATGTGACAGAACTGCTATGCCTGTCAAGACATTTGGCAAGATCTCTAAAACCTTAATAGGAAAGAAAAAGAAAAGAAATTATAAAATCAAGCAACAAAATAAAGCTATTAAAAGTACTGTAAAAAGAGAAGAGATAAAGCCTAGTAAAATAACATAAGAAACAAAAACAGAAAGCCATTTTTTGGAATTCTAGCTCTGAGAAAATCAAATTGCAAAGTTTATAAATTTATGGCTAAGTGAATAACATGTATGGCACAAAAGTTCATGATTTGTCATTAATTTATATATGATTAGTTACAATAATTAAAGAAAAGAGAACAGAAAACCACATAAGCAGTTTGATATTATCTTTTACATTCTGATCTTTTATTACATTTCCTAATTTTTAACACTGTTTTCATAATTTATAGATTATGATTCCTTAGTAATATTTAGAATTATATTTAATTCATTATATACATTTTTTTAATTTCAGTATCATCCTTTAACATATTAGTTACATCCAATCTAAGGCATAAAATCACATAACTGAAGAGATATTCAGTGCACTATCTATCCCTGCACTTTTATGAAAAAAGTATTGTATAATTGTTATTACAATATGTTAAAGGTAAAAAATTCTCCCCCCTTTTTACTCCTAACTTAAAAAGTATGTAGTAAAAAAGTTATATAATGAAGCAAACCTCAGTATCTCCTCAGTTGTAGATATGATACCTAAAATATATTTAATTTCTTTTGCTTTCAGAAAAGCTGCTCTGAGGCAAAAATTTTTGAACCTTAGAAAATACAGAAGATGGGTGCTTACTTCTGATCACTTTCCCATACCAAGCCTCTCAGTGCCTATGAAAATCATAAACAATCACCCTAACATATATATTCATATATTATGCTAATAGAGTTTTGTTAATATAAAGGTTAAATAGGAAAGTGCACATTTCTTGCCCTTCTAATATTTTCCGGTAGTTTCAAATTTATGTTATGAGAAAAATTCTCATAAATTATACACTTCAGTTCCTCCCTCCTTTTTCTTTTCATTTGGGAGGATTGTTCACATGGACAGCAACATTTTTATTGATGCAGTATTCATTATAAGTATCCAGTTCCTCTACTGAACATGGATGATGACAGCTATATCATTCCTAATCACCCACTTCATTAACTAAAACTTCAACCACTAATCTATCTTAAGATTTCATATCATCTTCAAGACTATTCTTTTCTCCAGCAATATTTTTTAAAGCAACACTGTTTAATCAAAGTTAATCTAGTCCAAAATAATAATTTGAGTATGCATGCACAATCTGAAAGGCTTAAAAAGCTTGTTTCTATCTAAACCAAAAATTGTAGAAGTTTACTGTAAGGGAAGGCAACAGCAGGTACTGTAAATTTAAGCCATTTTTAATGAAATGGAGATTTTTTAATAGTTTCCTTTTAAAACATGTTGTTACAAAATGTCTACATGGGGTAAGATAGCTTCCCTGCAAAGCAGGTGTAAGGTTGCCAGAAAATGGCAAGGGAAGGCAGGGTTGCCCCATTTGGCGACTAAACCGACGATGTGCCATAGACGGATGGAGAACCTTCTGAAATGAATTCTTACTGGTTTAAGCCCAGAATGTTCTCGAACACAAGCCAAAAGCTATATAAATCCTGCGTGTACACGGAAAGTCAGTCAGTTCGTGCGAAGTTAGTGTCGAATCAGTGTCTCATCTAGCAAGTCAATCAGTATCTCGTTTAGCAAGTGGATCACGAGTTAGTGAGAGTCCATCGAGTTGATAGTCAGTCAGTGAGTGCCGAGATGGTCATTGAGTGCATCGAAAGAGTCTCTTAGTATATCGCGAGTTAGAGCATCGTCGAGTTTGAATATGTTGAGCTCCAGGAACGACTGAACAGAGGAGTCAGAAGCTCTACTCTAGTATATCGAGTGCATCGTGAGTTGTAGCATGGAGAGTCCTGAGAGTACGTGGAGTTCCTAGAACGACTCAGCAGAGTCGGTAGCTATACTCTGTGCTTTGCAGTGAAGCTGTCTCAACTTTTATAGCCTGATAACCTGGAGGCAGTGTCGCTGATCATTTCAGCATGTTTATAGTAATTCTTTAACGACTGTAAATGTGTTATTGGAGCTGTCTTGAATAATAATGGCCAATAAAGTGTGTTTTGATGTTTTATCAAGTGATGTCATTATTCACTCCAAATCCATGAACCCCATACTAACGTGAAGAAAGAAAAAACATAACAAGTGGTGTCAGAAGTAAGATTTGAGGGTGAATGCCAGTTACAAGAGCAATGGAAGAACTATTAAGACAGCTGGTGACTGCCTTTGCTAAATTCAAGAAAAGATGGAAGCCAGACATTAGGAGTTGAAGGTCGGATATGCTGAGATAAAAGCCGGATATGATGAGATAAAAGCTGGATTTGAAGAAATGATGGCTGAGATGAAAGCCAGACTGGAAGAGATAAAGACTGCACAAGAAGAGATGAAAGGTAGCCGAGAAGAGGTGCTAGAGTAACTCCAATGGATGAAAGTCGAGCTTGCAGAAGAAACTGCAGCCAAACCAGAAGATGTGGAAATGACAGTAGTGGCGTCTGGAGAATCCAAGGATAAAGAAATGAAGGAAGTAACTGACGAACTGCCTGAGAAAGACCAGGAAATGATGAATGAAACATTTAACGGGATTAACGGAAAAGAATGAAAACATGAAGAAATAAAAGAAGGGAAAGAAGCTTTTGATTCTCAAGTGCCTGAAGTGGAAAAAAGTGAAAATGCAACTGTTAAGTTCGTCGAAACTGATAGTGAAGTTACAAAGTCACAGGCAATAAGTGTTGAACTATCTGAAAGTGCATACGATGCAAAGATGGGAGAAGCTGATGTGCAGCTTATGTACAGCTTAAGTGCACTCCAGTATTGAAAGAAAATTCACCCACTTCACAAACTGGGTGTGTGCCTCATAGTGCAGATTTTACAGACAAGGACTTGATTTTTAAACCTGGATACTTCTGCTTGGAAAGGATTGGATTCTATTCATGATCCTATTGCAAACATCGAAATTGGCTTTCACGAAATTGAGGTAAGTAAGCATGTACCATCTGCTAAAAATAGAGCGGTGAACTGTACGCACGCTGCGAATGAACTACGCAGCGTGCGTACAGTTCACCTCTCTGCGAATGAACTTCGAGTGGTGAACGAACTGTTTTAGATCTTCCAGTGGATGAAAAGTCTGAAAGGACTGAATCTTCAGACTGTGATATGCAAAACAGAAATACATCTGAGAACTGCAGTGGAAGAGTATTTGACACGGGTATATCTTAATGAAAAGACAGAGACTGCAATTCATTTTGAATTTTAATTTGTATAATTTAAAATTGTTATGTGTTTAATTTGTGTATATACCTTGGACACAGTGTAAATATTTTTTTCTTTAGTTATATTATTTGTTTGTTTTATTATGTTTTGTTTGTATCAAATTTGGATTCTGACCAAGGATTGTACTGCCCGGGATGTGCAGTCCATGGACGGGGGGCTTTGTTATGAAATGTCTAGGTGCAGTAAGATAGCTTCCTGCAAAGCATGTTTAGGGCTGCCAGAAAATGGTAAGGGAAAGCAGGGTTGCCATATGTGGCGAAAAATCTCCCGTTTGGCGACAAAATTGCCAATATGCCATAGACAGATGGAGAACCTTTTGGAACGAATTCTTACTGGTTAGCCCAGAATGTTCTCGAACGCAAGCCAAAAGCTATATAAATCCTGCTGGTATGCAGAGAGTCAGTCAGTCCATGCAAAGTTAGTGAGTGAGTGAGTGCACCGCTATGATGGCTTCCGACCACGGACATGAACCAAACGGAATTATATAACATCACGGCGGGAAAGACTCCAGAGTAACAAAGTTGAATATTATAAACTAATAACAGTTTTTACATATTGTTAACTGCAAGGCACTAAGCGTTATTTTGGTTATCTACTTTAAGTTCTGAACTTTTGAAACAGTATAATATTATCCAAGGTTGTTTCTGCTTAGGCAGTGTTCTGAGATTTTCTCTATTTTATCAAGGGCTATTCTGTTTTTGAGTGTGTTAGTCGTCCACATTGCCCAGGCACAGTCCGCTGGTTTCTTCAAGTGCCAGGTTCTTGTATGTACACAATGGAAGTAATAATGGTCCGTGTTGCCTTCCTCTCCGCATTCGCAGAAAGGAGTATCCCTAAGTCTGAATCTGTTCAGGTATACTGGGAATGGTCCATGACCTGTCAAGAACTGTGTTAGGCTAGCACAGTGGGTTTTTATTTCCATGTTAACTTTTGGCAGTAAGCGAAATGTCCTTCGTCCTACCTCTGCCTTTGTCCATCTACTTTGCCAATTTTGTAGCAGACTTGTCAAAGTTGTTCGCTTAATATGAGACCAAGGAAGTTTAGTTGGTCTTTCTAATATATCCGTACAGTTGGCTGCCTGCTTGGCCAGTAGGTCAGCGGCTTCATTGCCTTGAATCCCTGTGTGAGAGGGAACCCATTTTAAAGTGGGTCTTTGCGAAATAGGCATTCTCAGAAGCTGTTTCTGAATTCTGTATACCAATGGACTCCAGCTGTTTTGACTTGCGATAGCCGTCAGACTTGATGCTGAATCACTGAGTATGGAGAATTTCTCCTGTTGACATGTGTTCGCATATCTAATTGCAGCACCGATACCTAGAAGCTCTGCTTGGTATACCGAGTTGTTCAAGCCTAATTTCCTTTTCCACTCGAATGTTACAACTCCATTTTCTAGTCTACAGAAGGCGCTGCCCGTGCCGTTCTCAGTTTTGGAGCCATCTGTGAAAAGGTTATTACTGTACCTCTGAATTGGTTGGTCGTTTATATTGATACCGTCAGAGAGATTAAAAGCTTTTATGAAAGTTATTGCAGTTGTTTTGCTCCTCGTAGTCCGAGTGGTGATAACTATGACCCCAGAGTGTTGAAGTTTGACCCAGCCTGGTAACCCTTACGATAGCTGCCTCCCTTTCTACTATCAAATCTAGGGGAGGAATTCCTGATAGTTGTTGTAGGGCTAGTGTTGACGTGGTAC